TAATTAATGTAATAATTATTAACCAAGGGCTTGTTTATAGTATTATTGCAGAAATGTTATGTAACTTTGGTCCCAAACGTGAATGTTATTTAGTACCATTTGACTTATCTTTAGTACAAAACAAACACACACATACAAAATGTAAAAAAGGGGGAGGGGATAACTTTATAATCACATTAGCAAAAACTTATATACAGACGACACTGAAATATATATATTAAGCTTGATGTATAACAATGTATAACATCATGAAGGATCTATGTCATGTACAATATTTGTTTATCAGCTACTAAAATTAGTCATTACAATGTCATATGTCATTACAATATATATATATATATATATATATATATATATATATTTGAAGAGTTTGGTTCCAAAACGCGATAAACGCCTTTTTTTTTTTTGAGTTTCCGTCAAAATCAGTATTGTATCTGGTCGGTATTGAAAAGTCCATTTTTAATCTTACGCAAAATACGATATCCGCCGATTTATTCTGTTATGTTTTCTCCCTTTTTTTCCAAACCGCGACAAACGCCAGTCTCCCTTTTCTGCAGAATGCGATATATCCGCTCAACCAATCACAGCGCACCATTCCACGCACTGTAAACATTAACAACCAATCACAGCGCACAACTCCACGCACTCTAGTCTAGACAGTAATGGCGGCGCTTTGAATACACCCGGCATCCTAGTTTTCCTCATCTATTTTGTACTTTGTGATCAACAAACAAAACAAAAAAATTAGGGCTGCACGATAAATCACATGTGATTATGCGCATCTCGTCAGTAAAGCCGGTTCTGTGAACAGTAAATTTCCATCACGTGCTTTCAGATGGAGTGGCATTTAATACACAGCCGTATATCACCACAATATCGCGTTCATAATCGCAGATGAGTCGCATTCGATTATGAACGCGATATTGCGTAGCTTGTCAGTGTAAGTGTTTTTATTTATGCCATTAATGTTTTTGTTAGATGAATGCAATTTTGGAAGTTGAATGTAAGTCAAGTCAAGTCACCTTTATTTATATAGCGCTTTTAACAATAAATTTACAAGTCTTATTTTTTTGCTTCACAAAATAAAATGACATAAAATGTCAAAAAATTATGCATGCATATGCAAAGCTGATAAATGAGAGGTCTGAAACAGAAGTAGCCCCTTATAAAATGATTTTTTAACTGGTTTTGAGAATGTCGCACTTTGTTTTACATACAGGTCTTGCGCATGGTCTCAGGTGAGAGTGTACACGCGAGAATGTGAGCCAGTGGGAAAGAGAAGGTAAAGAAATTTATATGGATGTTATTTGGGCATGTTTTATGCAAATTATTCGCTTTTGGCACATCATGGTCCAATATTTATATTAATTAAAAGTCCAGCTGGACAGGATGAAGATGGGGCCAGTATCTCCACCGTGGCTGGCAGTTCAGTGGGGATAGCAGGAGGAGTCTTGTCCATTGTTGGTCTTGCTCTTGCCCCCGTCACTGCAGGAGTGTCACTGGTTCTGACGCTGACCGGTGTCGGTCTGGGGGTGACCAGTGGTGTCAATAGTATCGTCACAGGCATCACTGAGGCAGTAGTCAACAGTCAGCAAGGGAAAAATGCACAGAACATTTTCCAGAGATACATGGATGATGTGGGCAAGATTCTAGACTGTCTGGAGCAGGCCAGTAGTGAGCCTGATGTGAAGGGGCTTGCTGGGGTTGATATCATTACAGCTGGAAAATTGGTATTTGGTGCTATAGGTTTATGCAGTAATATTGGATCCCTGGTAGATAAAGCACTACAAATTGAGGAGGGGATTGTCACAGCAACCAAAATTGGCCTCAATAATGCAAAAAGTGCACATAATATTACAAAGCACACAGTAAAAATGCATGGCCAAAATTGGGCAGCTGACAAAAGGGAAGCCACTAAGCCTACGTCTGGCCAAAGGGAGCAAGTGTGAGAAATCTCAGCTCATCTGCTCCAGAGCAGCTCTGTGGGAATCTGAGCTGGAAGCCTGGCAGAATATACATGATTCCTTATGCATTGGAATATGGAGGAAAAGCTAGGATGCGTTGGAGCAGTCTTTTCTTTCTCTTTTTTTTTTAGAAAATTTTTGAATGTACTTTTCAAGATTAAGAACAGTTGAGATGAGCATAAAGTGAATGCATTTTGAATAGATTGCACAGCCATATTTAACACAGCAACACTGTAATTAGAGCAGTTATCCTGGTGGTTTCCTGAAACACTTGTAACTGGTTACTCCTACATTTTTATCATCTAGAAACTTAAAAATGAGGATTCCTAAATCCTATACTAAATTATTGAATTAATAATGTTTGTTAGAGAGAAAAAAAAAGATGTAGCCTACTTGATTTTCAGCACATAGTGGATATTTAGAGTATTTACAGCAATTGGATATGTATAATTTATTTTAAAAAAAAATTTTTTTAAATGCTTGTAACTCTTCAATCCTATAAAGCTACATATATACAAAGTATATCACACACGGTGGCCTTGAGTGAGCAGAGGCTGGGGGATAAAGTGAGGAACGGCCGGAGGGCTAGAGTGAGCGAAGGTGGCAGATTCGACGAAGGAGCGTCTGGAGGGCTAGCGGCAACCACATGTGACGACCCCGGACCCCGGGCTGGACTCCGCTTCGTCCACGGTGAAAGCCGATCCGGTGATCCACAGTGCAAAGTTGTAGTATTTCCTCAGCAACCAGCCCGGATCAGCTCCAGGCATGACGAAGCAGATATCGTCCTCTTTTGGAAAGCCAAACAAAGTAGTTTAGCTTTCACAACAAAACACAGCATCACACACGGTGGCCTTGAGTGAGCAGAGGCTGGGGGATAAAGTGAGGAACGGCCGGAGGGCTAGAGTGAGCGAAGGTGGCAGATTCGACGAAGGAGCGTCTGGAGGGCTAGCGGCAACCACATGTGACGACCCCGGACCCCGGGCTGGACTCCGCTTCGTCCACGGTGAAAGCCGATCCGGTGATCCACAGTGCAAAGTTGTAGTATTTCCTCAGCAACCAGCCCGGATCAGCTCCAGGCATGACGAAGCAGATATCGTCCTCTTTTGGAAAGCCAAACAAAGTAGTTTCGCTTTCACAACGAATCACACAGCGCCTTCATGACATGGCGGCGGCAACAACAATACTACAGCAAGAATAAAAGTTACGCCTTCTTTCTTTGCGTGAACATTTGGGCGGCGTTATATCTTCCCACACAGTGACGTAGACATGTGGGAGCATGTTAGAACGAGACGTTTTAGGTAGGTGTGGTTGACTCTTAACTTTTATAAAGAATATCTCTTTGGATTTGAGACTTTAGTCTTTGCAACTTTACAGATCTTCTTTACGCACCAAGAGCTTGTAACACTCCCGAAGAGAAAGGAAAAATTGAAATCGCATCATATGACCGCCAAACAAAGTAGTTTCGCTTTCACAACGAATCACACAGCGCCTTCATGACATGGCGGCGGCAACAACAATACTACAGCAAGAATAAAAGTTACGCCTTCTTTCTTTGCGTGAACATTTGGGCGGCGTTATATCTTCCCACACAGTGACGTAGATATGTGGGAGCATGTTAGAACGAGACGTTTTAGGTAGGCGTGGTTGACTCTTAACTTTTATAAAGAATATCTCTTTGGATTTGAGACTTTAGTCTTTGCAACTGTACAGATCTTCTTTATGCACCAAGAGCTTGTAACACTCCAAAGAGAAAGGAAAAATTGAAATCGCATCATATGACCCCTTTAAGGCCCAGCTGTAATATTTTCATAATGTGTTACTTGGAAGGTATATGAACATTTTGAGTTCATACTCAAGACAAATGTCTTTACAGGTAAAGTGGGCCATCTCTGATTCATTAAAAATTACCTTGCATCATAATTAGATATGATTTAATTATTTTTAATATTTAGGCCTATTACATATTATCAAACAAACATATTCAACAACATATGAAGAGCTTGGTTCCAAAATGCAAAAAGAAAATTTTGAGTTCCCGCCAAAATCAGTATTGTATCTGGTCGGTATTGAAAAGTCCATTTTTAATTTTACGTAAAATGCGATTATCCACCGTGTTTGGTTCCCATAACATTAGTCTTTGGTTCCCAGAACATTTTTTATGGTTTGTTTTTGGTTAGCCAGGAAAGTTTTCTTAATGTTCCCAGAACTGTAGTTTTTGGTTCCCAGAACGTTATTCTAACGCTCCCATAATGTTATTCTAACATTAATCTAACGTTCCCATAACGTTACTATATTCTTGAGACATGGGACAAAACAGGTCCAGCAAGGCTAACTGCTATTAGCTTTAAAAAATAAAAATATTTTAAATTTTAAATGTCATGAGGGATTAATAATAGAATGTATTTAACACAAATATCACCTTCAATTTAATTTTCTCATTATTATACCAAATCTATGTTTCTTGTTGTCCTCTCACTACATCTAAAACAGTGTGTCCACAGAGAAGGGTTCAATCATTCATATGCAATAAAATGGATACAAATGTTTTTTTAATGATGAAAAATAGCTTGTTTTATCAAAAGCAACACTTAATAATATCTCCTATCAAAGCAAGGTTGTTTTTTAATGACACATGCATGTTTCATAAGATTTTAAAGTTGCGTCCCCACTTTTTGTCAACACCGTCAGACATTCAATAAAATGTAATAAAATCAGGGCATATCAGGGGCAGCTGTCAAGGACCCCCTTACCACAGTTCACCTCTGCAGAGTACATCAGTGTCAGACAGGCTCTGCTTTTTAAGTTTTATAGTTTTAGAATATTTTAAATCCTAATGTTAATATTTCCTGTGTCACAGCCATGATATGTCAACACCATCTTCCAATTTCTGAGGAAAATATTTGAAATATTTAGATAATTGTATTCTCCTGAAGCACGTTCCATTAGCATCTAGCATCAACAGAAACAAATAAACAAATAAAATGGCTACTACATGAACTCCATTGGTTTTGTGAAAGAAATGCCAAATTTGTCAACACCGTCAGATGTCACCACCATAAGATCTTGTGTTCCAATGATATATCAAAATACTTCAATGTGACTCTTGAATAAAAGCTTTATAAACAATAACATACTCGCTTTTTTTCTTTTTCTTATCTCGGCGCCGGACTACTGATGTCTTTTTCCCGGGCACAGTTGTCCAGCAGTTATGATCATTTGCTGTCAGCCTCAAACATGAGGCGGGCGCGGATGCGGGAATGGCGCGTCACGTGTGCTTCGCCTGTCTACTGTTCACCGTAAAACGCATTTTTTATAATTATGTATATATGTTCTTGTTTATATTTTTATTTACGTATATGTATATGTTAATATTAATATAGAACAAAAGTTTTTTTTTTTTGAGCAACTGGGATGGTGCCCCCCTGTGAGTTGGTGCCCTACGCAAACTGCGTACTCTGCCTAGGCTATAGGGAGCGGCTGTTCGCTCTTGACGAAGACCTGATGGTCGAAACGTTGCAGCAATACATTATTTTTATGGAGCAGTTACATCAGTGTGCGGACAATACGTTTGTATTTTTACTATAGTTTGACTTTTTTGTCCTGCACCTGAGCCCTGTGTGGGTTTGTGGGATGTGCGCAACATTTTTACACTTTGGTTTATAAAATATGACATTTATTCACACACACATATGTATTATGCATAGCTTAACTGCTTTTAGTTAAGGACATTTTTTGGTTGCTCCTCCTGTGTATGTTATGCAATCTGAGCAAAACAGTCTGGTGTCCGTTTGCTAAGTAGACAGCTGGGCTGCCTTCAGGGGCTGTAGTAGCAATGTTCCCCTTTTACTGTAAAATGATGTAATGTTTTGGAATGTCAGCAGCCTATTCCTCACACACACACACACACACACAGGGTGGGTAAAATAATACATACCGTTCTCCTCACCAGGATCAGTTTTTTTTTTCATTTGTGTAAATGTGCTTCACTGAAACCATAAAAAAAGGAATTGTAATACAAGAGTTCTGCTGAGATATGTGTTATATGTGTATGTGAATAGTCTCCCCCTATAAACCTATATATATATAGGGGGAGACCGGTACGGTGGCCGAGAAGTGCAAAACAAATCACAATTCTGAAAACAGAATAACAAATTACAAACGCAAATGCAAGTCTAAAAAACAAAATAATTCAGAAAACACAACAACAATTCAGAAAACATTATAACAAGTCAGAAAACACAATGACAAATTCGAAAACAAAATAACAAGTCAGAAAACACAACGACAAATCCGAAAACAAAGGAACAAGTCAGAAAACACAACGACAAATCAGACAAACCGGAAGAGGTAGGTATAGTTTGAGAGAGCATTGGTTTGGGATTACTCACCGCTGACTGGACGAGACATCTGTCAATCAACGTATACAGGAAGAACCAGCAGAAGAACAGCAGAGTCGTGGTAGAAAGTTCGGAGATGGTATTAAAGTAGCTCAGTTTAAATGTATTGTATGAATTGCCCTTACTATGGAATAAAAAATACGGAGTGTATATTTAAATTTAGTTAAAAGTGGCTGTAATATATCAGCTCCAGTGGCGCAGATGGATAAGTGTGTGTCACTGGTTTTTTGATGCGATCGACCCGGGTTTGATCCCGTCTTTTGCCAAACTTTTTTTTCGTCCCTTTTCAAATCTCGTATTAGCAAT